AACCGGGACCAGAGTGCAAAAACCGGGATCACAGAGAGAGGAAAAACCGGGATCAGAGTGGAAAAAACGGGATCATAGAGAGAGGGGAAATACTGGGATCAGAGAGAGGGGAAAAACCGGGATCAGTGTGAAGGGGAAAAACCGGGATCAGAGAGGGGAAAAACTGGGATCAGAGAGAGAGGAAAAACTAGGATCAGAGAGAGAGGAAAAACCGGGATCAGAGAGGAAAAACCGAGATCAAAGAGAGAGGAAAAACCGGGACTAGAAAGAAAAAAGCAGGATTTGAGAGAGAAGAAAAATCCAGGATCAGAGAGAGAGTAAAACCGGGATCGGAGAGAGAAAAAAACGGGATTGGAGAGACTAAAACCGGGATCAGAGAGGAAAACCCAGGATCAAAGAGAGAGGAAAAATCGGGATCAGAGAGAGAGGAATAACCAGGACTAGAAAGGAAAAACCAAGATCAGAGAGAGAAGAAAAATCCGGGATTAAAGAGAGACTAAAACCGGGATCGGCGAGAGGAAAAAACGGGATTGGAGAGACTAAAACCGGTATCAGAGAGAAAGGAAAAACTGGGATCAAAGAGGAAAACCCAAGGTTCTGATAGAGAGGTAAAAAACACAATCAGACAAAGGCTAAAACCAGGATCGGAGAGTGAGAAAAAACTAGGATCGGAGAGGGAGGAAAAAACGGGCTCAGAGAGGAAAAACTGGGATCAGAGAGAGAAACTAAAACCAGGATCAGTGAGAGAGGGAAAACAGGGATCGAGGAGAGAGACTAAAACCAGGATCAGAGAGAGAGAGGAAAAACCTAGATCAGAGAGGAAAACCAGGACCGGAGAGAGACAAAAACCAGGATCGGAGAGAGACAAAAACCAGGATCGGAGAGAGGAAAAACCAGGATCAGAGACAGACTAAAACTGGGATCGGAAAGAGAGAAAAACTAGGATCAGAGATAGACGAAAACTGGGATTGGAGAGAGAGGAAGAACCGGGATTAGAGAGGGAAAACCTGGATCTGAGAGAGGTTAAAACTGGGATTAGAGACCGAAAACCAAAAACGGAGAGAGACTAAAACCAGGATCAGAGAGAGAGAGAAAAACGGGATAAGAGAGGATAAACCAGGACCAGAGAGAGGGGAAAAAAACCGGGATCCAAGAGAGACTAAAACCGGGATCAGAGGAGAGGAAACACTTGGATCAGAGAGAGGAAAACCTGGGATCAGAGAGGAAATACTGGGATTGGAGAGGAAAATCCAGGATGAGAGAGGAAAAACCAGGATCGGAGTGGAAAAACTGGGATCAGAGAGAGACTAAAACCAGGATTGGAGAGAGAGAAAAAACCAGGATCAGAGAGAGAGGAAAAACCACGATCAAAGAGAGACTAAAAGCAGGATCAGAGAGATGGAAACACAGGATCAGAGAGAGAGGAAAAACGAGATCAGAGAGAGGGGAAAATGGGATCAACAGAGCGATGAAAACCTAGATCAGAAAGACAAAAACCGGTATCAGAGGGAGAAAGAAAAATGGGATGAGAAAGAGAGGGAAAAACCAGGTTCCAGAGAGGAAAACCAGATCAGAGAGAGGGAAAACCCAGATTGAGAGAGGAATAGCCAAGATCAGAGAAAGGGAAAACCAGGATAGCGAGAGGGAGAACTGGGATAAGAGTGAGATGACATGTGGGAACAGAGAGAAGGAAAACCAGGTTCAGAGAAGAAAACCAGGAACAGGATTAGAGAAGAGAGAATAAATCAAGTACAGAGAGAGGGAAAACTGGGATCAGAGAGAGGCAATGCAGGATCAGCTAGAGGGAAAATCAGGATCAGTGAAAATTCAGGAACAGGTAATGAGGAGAATGGATTAGAGAGGAAAATTAGGATCAGGGTGAGAGCGAAACCAGGAAAAGGAAAAGAGGGAAACTGGATCAGAGAGAGAAAAAAACATAATCAGAGAGAGGGAACTTGGAATTAGGAAGAGGAAAAGCAGGATCAGAGAGAAGATTTGGGAACAGGGAGTGAGGAAAATATGGGTCATGAAAAGGAAAAATTGGGTCAGGGAAATGGGAAAAGTGGGAACAGGGAGCAAGGGAAAACCAGGATCAGACAAAAAACAGAAACAGGGTGAGAGGGAAACAGGGATCAGGATTGGAAAGACTGGGAACAGGGAGAGGAAAACCGAGAACTGCGAGACAGGAGGGAGGAAAACCAGTAGCAAAGGGAGTGAAAACTGGAATTGGAGAGAAAAACCTGGATCAGAGATAGCGCAAATCTGGGATCTGTTAGAAGGAAAACCAGAATCAGAAAGGACTTTCAGGAACAGGCATGAGGAAAACTGGGATCAGAGAGAGGAAATCGGGATCAGAAGGGAAAGCAGGGAGATAGGGAAACTGGGAAAATGGAGAGGGGGCAAACAGGGATCACAGGATGAAAACTAAAATTAGGAAAATGGAAAACAGGCAATGGGAAGAGAGAGAAACCGGAATCATAGAGGAAAGCTGGGAACAGGGAGAGGGGAAAGGGAGACGAAATGGGAACAGAAGGAACATCATGATCAAGGAGAACGGATACTGGAATTAGAGTGAAGGAAAGATGAGAGGATAGGAAAACTGAAAACAGGGAGATGAAAACCAGGATCAGAAAGGAAAACCAGGGAGAGAAGGAAAACCAGGATCAAAGAGAGAGGAGAACCAGTATCAGAGAGAGAGGGAAACTGGGATTGGGAAGAGGGTAAAGTGAGATCAGAGAGAGAGAAATTTCACATCCAAGACTGTTCAGGATCTTACATACATGAGTCGAGTCACCCCTCACTTTTCCAAACACCACTGGAAACAAACCCAACCTGCCCTTCATAAGACAATCTGATCATTCAAGGTATCAGTCTAGTAAGGCTTTCTTGAAACCCCTCCGTTGCATTTACACCTTCCTTAAATAAGGAAATCACGAACGCACACAGTATTCAAGGTCTCACCAATGTCCCGTGTAATTGAAGTGTAACATCCTTGTTTTTATGTTCATTCCTCTCTTAATAAAGGACAACATTCTATTAGCATTTTTAATCAAATACTGTACCCATGTATTAACTTTTTGTGACTCATTCACTAGAACACTTGGATCCCTCTGCACAACCAGAATTCTACATTTATTCTCCATTTATGTCACACTCTTTTTATTCATCCTTCCAAAGTGAACAATTTCACATTTTCCCACATTGTATTAATCTCTGCCTTCCACATCCTGTTTTACACCTATTACTGGTGTGTCTTTTTTTATCCTTTATAATAAAAACAGAAGCAAAATATTGGTTAATTTCACCCCTTATTTCCTTATTATCCAGTATTAACTTTTAATTATCTAAAAGACAAACTCGTATTTTATTTACTCATTTCCTTTTTAGATATCACTTGTAAGAACTCTTTTTATCTGTGTTCACATTTCGAGCAAACTTCCTCACATAATCTAATTTCTTCCTCATTAATCTTTTAGTAATTTTCTGCTATTCTTTATAATCTGGCCAATCATCAGACTTGTCAGTCATCTTTTCCAATTAGAGACCTTTTCCTTAAGTTTAATGTTTACCTTTTTATCATTCATTGTTAACTATAGAAATTGTGTGGAGTGAATAGAATTGGCTGAAAACTGGCGTCCATAATGCTGGGGATGTCAGGGGTACACCAATATAGATTATCCACTGAGCACTTTTGGCTGAAGATACTTTCAAATGCCTCAGCCTGTCTTATGCACGGATGAGCTGATCTCCTCCATCATTCCATCATTCAGACCTGAATATACTGCTCCTGACGTGTCTTCCTGCACTCTTCATAAACCAGAATCAATCCCCTGGTTTAGTAGAGATGCAAGAGTGGGGACTATGCCAGGACCACATTTGATTTGATTTGTTACTGCCACATGTAGCAAGATACAGTGAAAAGTATTGTTTTGTGTGCTATCCAGACAAATCATACTATACATAAATACATCAAGGTAATATAACAGAACGCAAAATACGGTGTTAGAGCTGTATGCTGGTAATCAATAAATTTCCTTGCCCATGTTTTGACTTGATGTAGGACCTCATGGAGTCTGAAGTCAATGTTGTTCTTCATATTAAGAATTCCCAGGGATAGTCCTTCTCTTCCAACTGTATTCGGATGTGCAGCCACATCACCAGGGATGGTGATGACAATATCTGAGATGTAGTCATTCTCACAAAATCATATAATGTTATGTTTGGTATGCTCGCCTTTGTTGGTCAGTGCGTTGATTATAGGAGTTGCGAGGTCCTTTTGTGGACAGGACATTGGTTAGGCCAGTTTTGGAATACTGTATGAAATTCAGGTCTCTCTGTTATAGGAAGGATATTGTGAAACTTGAAAGGGTTCAGAAAAGATTTACAAGAATGTTGCAAGAGTTGGAGGGTTTGAGCTATAGGGAGAGGTTGACTAGGCTGGAGCTTTTTTCCCCTGGAGCATCAGTGGCTGAGAGATCACCTCATGAGGTCATTCTTATAAAATCATGAAGGGGCATGAATAGGGTTAAAAGACAAGGTCTTTTCCCCGGGGTGGGGGAATTCAAAACTAGAGGCATAGGTTTTTGGTGAGAGGAGAAAGATTTAAAAGGCACCTAAGGGGCAACTTTTTCATGCAGAGGGTGGTGCATGTACGAAATGAGTTGCCAGAGGAAGTAGTGGAGGCTGGTACAATTACAACATTTAAAAGGCAACTGGATGGGTATATGACTAGGAAGAGTTTAGAGGGATATGGGCCAAATGCTGGCAAATGGGACTAACTAATTTAGGATATGTGGTCACCATGGACAACTTGGACCAAAGGGTCTGTTTCCATTCTGTACAGCTCTACAACTGTGACTGTATGACTGATCTGTGGAGCAGCTCTCCCAATTTTAGCTCATGCTACCAGATGTTAGTTGGGAATTAACAAGGGTGTGTGTGTGCTATTGTAATTTCCTTCTGCATTTGTCAATGTTGCATGGTCCAACTGATATCGTTCCTTTTATTAGCCTGTTACAGATACAGCTGAGTAATTTATTGGCCATTTCAAAGGGCATTTTAGAGTCAATCACATTGCTGTGGGTCTGAAATCACCGTAGGCCAAACAAGATGAAGATGATAGATTTTTAGTGAACCAGCTGAGTTTTTACAACAAATAAACAATGGTCTCATGCTCACCATTAAATTAGCTTGAAATTTCACATTGTCAGGACTCACTGGGATGGCATGCTAAAAATGAAGACCCACTGTTCCTGGAGTCACCACAAATGTTAAGACTTAATGAAGCTACCAAAAAACCAATTTGCCTCTGACAGACTGCTACAAGGATAAAAGCAAACCACACCAGATCCCTTCAGTAACAGTAAAAATAATTTTATTATAACACATTTATCTTTAACAAGAACTGTAAAAGTACAGGATTTCTGGTATAAGTACCATTAACTTTATTACTAATATTCCCACAAAGGAAAAAGAAAACACAAATGAGTAGAGGGGGAAAAAACAGTCAGAAGAACACAGTTCTGGATCACCAATCCAAATCTCAAAACTAATTGGGTTGGTTTCAATTCTTCAATGTTATTTGTACTATAACGAACATTCTGTAGTTCATGGGTTGCTTGGTTGGTCTTGGGGTCTCTCTTATTGTCGCTTGGTTTTAGAATTATTTCTTACAGCACATCCAAACAGTTTTTCTGCTCTTTCAACAGAAATTTTGAGAAAGCAACTTCATAGAGAAAGGGAAGAAATAAAGATTGATGCACCTAACTTCTAGAAGTCTCCTGTTTTATTCCCCCAACAGGGTCTGTGTTAAACTACAAGCTGGCCAGTCACAGAGTTGTTACTGTGCTGGTCCCGCAACAAATGCTACCAATGCGTTTGGACTCAATGTCCTCAAGAAGTAACATTATCTGTTAGAATACTGCATGCAATTCTGGTCTCCCTGCAGTGGGAAGGATGTTGTGAAACTTGAAAGGGTTTAGAAGAGATTTACAAGGATGTTGCCAGAGTTGGAGGGTTTGAGCTGTAGGGAGAGGCTGAATAGATTGAGGCTATTTTCCTCTGGAGCATTGGGGCCTGAGGGGTGACCTTATAGAGGTTTATAAAATCATGAGGGGCATGAATAGGGTAAATAGACAAGGCCTTTTCCCTAGGGTGGGGGGAGTCCAAAACTAGAAGGCATAGGTTTAGGGTAAGAGGGCAAAGATTTAAAAGGGACCTAAGATACAACTTTTTCACACAGAGAGTGGTGCCTGTATGGAATGAGCTGCCAGAGGTGGAGTCTTTTAAAAAGTATCAGGATAGGTATATGAATAGGAAGAGTTTAAGAGTGATACAGGCCAAATGTTGGCAAATGGGACTAGATTTATTTAGGGTATCTGGTCAGCATGGACAAGTTGTTCCAAAGGGTTTGTTTCCATGCTGTATATCTCTATGACTCCGTCTCATGTGCAGGAGTGAGTTTCACTTGTTCTTCCAAGCTGCAAACAACTCCATGTACATGCATAAAAACAGAGGTTGTTGGAAAGTCTCAGCAGGTCTGGCAGCATCTTTGAAGAAAAAAATCAGAGTTAACATTTTAGGTCCAGTGACCCTTCCTCATACCGGCTGAGTTTTTCCAGCAACCTGTTTTTGTTTTTGTTTCTGATTTACAGCATCCACAGTTCTTTCAGTTTCCATGTACATGCACGTTTCTTTAAAGGGCAGTGACCATTTTTTTCTCATTTTCAGTCTGTAGTCCAAAAAGAAAGTGGTCTATTAAAATATTTGTTAATTGAATTTGAATTCCACCTTCTGCTATAATGGGATTTATACTTTTTCACCAGAGCATTAGCCTAGATCTCTGGATTACATAACGACAATACCACTATGCTGCTGCTTCCCATATGTCTCTGTTCCACACGCTCTTGAGAATTGCACCCTTTTAGACCACTTCTCACGCTTCTAACTGAAGCGTGTCACTTCAAAAGTCTATACATTAAATTTCATCTGCCATTTGTCCATCTATTCTAGTAATCTACAGTCTTTGAAAATCTACTTTCATCCTCACATATCATACAGTATTCTCAAGTTTTGTATTAATTTCCAAAGTTTGCAACTGTACATCCAAATCTAAATTATTAATATGGGACAGAAACAGAGTAGAAATGTTTTTAAAGTAATAATCCAGAGGCTCAGACTAATGTTCCAGAAGTATGAGTTCACATCTTAGCATCGTGGAAGCAGGGGAAATTTAAATTCAATAAATCTAAAAAAAGCTGCTGTCAGTGATTATCATTAAACAATCATTAACAGCCTTTCTGGCTCCACCCAAACATATACTGCAGCAGACTCTAAAAGGCTTACTAACAGATGGAGGCAATTCAGTCCCCCAAGCCTGCTCTACACTTTAGATTATGGCAGATCTGTATCTTAAGCACATTTATTTGCCTTGGTTTTGCCTGGTCCATAACAGCCAGCCTAACCTCCTGGTCACTGCCCATTTCAACTGCCCTCCCAGCATGTCCTTCCTCAGCCTACTCCAGTGTCGCAGCGATTCAGAACACAAATTTGAGGAACACCACCTTCTTCCAGCTGGGCACCATACAGCTCGGAGGACTTAACATTGAGTTCTCGAATTTCAAATAACCTTCCCATCCATCCCCCAGCTCCCTTTCCAGCCACACCTCCTCTCTTCCATTCCAGCTACTGACCCTCCCAGCTATCAACTGGATTCATCCTTCCCATTGACCAACCGGTGTCCACCTATCACTCCCACCTCCCCCCCCACCACACCTCTCTTTATCTCCAATTCCCCCTAACCCCACCTCCAGTCCTGAAGAAGGGTAATACCCGCAAGGTTGACTTCTCCTTTCTTCCAGATGCTACATGGCTTGCCGTGTTCTTGAAGGCACTGTTTGTCTACCTTGGATTCCAGCATCTGCAGTTTCTTTTTATCTCTAATTGAAACTACTAACCTCAGTTTTGACATTTTCAATTCAACTCCATCTTCAACATCTTTTCTGGGGGGAAAACAGTTGCAGATTACAACCCTTTGGATCACATCACACCTGAAAAGTCTTACTATAATTTCAACATTTCCAATTTTCTTTGGACCTCCCCATGTCCAACAACCACCCCAAAGGAAAGAATTTCTATCTATCCATCAAATCCTTTAATCATCCTAAACATCTCAAATTAGATCACTACTTAACCTTCTGTATTCAATAAATTACAAGGCTAGTTTAAGGACTTTCTGTATTGTTGTGATGGATCTTCAATGCACCCCATTAAGCTCAGTGGTTCTTCCCGGAGTTGTATTGCCAGTTGCTATTTGTTGTCTCTCCCCTTTCCTCCCCTGCACATGCTGACTCCCAAAATAGATATTCCTGACATCCTCTTGCCATCCCAAACGCGACTCATAATGTATCAATCTAGACAGTGGTGGTAGGATAATGTTGGTTAAGACCTAATCAGGGTACTGAAGTCATTTTAGGTCTGCGTTATAATAAGTACACGAAGCACTGACAAGATGGAATTTTAAAAAAGTTAGTATCATAACCAGAACTGTGATACCCATGCAAAATGATTAAATGTCAAAAAATTGACGGGAATAGGGATCTCTAAGACTGTGAAACAGTTTGATAGGGTACACGAGAACATTTTTTCAATTGAGCCCATAAATATAACAAGGTTTGAATAGTAGGTCATTCAGCCCATCAAGCCTGCTCCACCATTTAATGCAGTCACAGCTAACTGAACACTTCAATGTCTCCAACACTATCCATATAATCCTTTAGTTTCTTTTTATTGTCAATGGCATAATCAACCTTTACATTAAACATACTTAAAAGACTAAGCTACCACAGGCAACGATTCACCACCCTGTCAGAAATAGAAATTACCTCATTTCAGTCTTAAGTGGCAACCTGTTAGTTTTTACATGGTGCCCCTAGTTCTAGACTCCCCAGCCAGGGGGAGCATCTTTTCTGCAACTATCCTGCCCATCCCTTTATATATTTTGTAGGTTTCAACGAAATCACCTCTAATTCTTTAAAATTCCATGGAACACAGATTCAATTTGCAAAATCTCTCCACGAGACAATCCCTTCAACCAGAAAACCAGCCTGGTGAACCTTCATTACACTCACCCTATGGCAACATCTTTCATGAGATAGAGATCCCAAAACTGGACACGATATTCCAAATGCAATCTAACCAGGAGAGACTTCTTGTACTCAATGGTCAGACTGTGGAACTTATTAGCACAAGAACTGGTTGACACAAATTAGATAAATTTAAGGAGAAGCTAGATAACAAGTCAGAGAAATGCCACACTGATGGGTGAGAGTAGCTGTAGACTCACTAAAGTATTAACACTAGCACGGATCTGTAGAGCAAAATGGTCTGTTCATGCTGTAAATCCTTTTATATGGTCGTGTCACCACACACATTCACACAGGTCATAGTCATAGACATGTACAGCACAGAACCCTTCGATCCAGCTCAGCAATGCCAACTAGATATCCTAAATTAATCTAGTCCCATTTGCCAGCATTTAGCCAATATACCTCTAAACCCTTTCTATTCATATACCCATCCAGGTGCCTTTTAAATATTGTAATTGTATCAGCCTCCACCACTTCCTCTGGCAGCTCATTCCATACACGCACACCTTCTGCATGAAAAAATTGCCCCTTAGGTCCCTTTTAAATCTTTCCTCCTCATCTTATACCTGTGCCCTTTAGTTTTGGACTCCCCTACCCTGAGAAAAAGACTTCTGTTATTCACCCTACCCACGTTCTACATGATTTTCTAAACTTCCATAATGTCACCCACAGCCTCCAATGCTTTAGGGAAAATAGCCCCAGTCTGTTCAGCCTCTCCCTAGAGCTCAAAATCTTCCAAACCTGGCAACATTCTTGTAAATCTTTTCCGAACCCTTTCACATTTTACATCTTTCCCATAGCAGGAAGGCAGGAATTGAACGCAGTATTCCAAAAGTAGCCTAACCAATGTCCTGTACAGCCGCAACATGACCTTCCTAGTCCTATATTCAATGCACTTACCAATAAAAGCAAGTTGGCAGCCATTTGGCACCAGAATCCAAGCTGATTTTTCTCCTCCCTGATGAAGGGGTGCTTGAGACTGATTAAAGTGTAAATTTATGCGTGCCTGGTATCCAATTTAGAGTGATCACTGATTAAAATAATCTCATTTTGACAAACCACATTACGCAAAACAACCACCTCTTCAACAGTTCTGATAGTACTTGGCAGAAACACACCTACCTCCAGAAAAGAAAGTTCACCCACAGCCTCAAACTAAAGTTGCATGTCAATTTGAGAAAAGCGTCCACTGTTCACTAATCATAATAAAACCCAAAGCAACCAAGTATTGATTCACCATTATCTGGCACCACATTTAGGCAGTGACAAAGGGTTGAAACATGATCCCATTGGGATTAAGAGTGACGCAGGTTCCAGTAAGAGCGCAATTATTTTATTTAGCAAAACACAGTAACAATAGGCTAATACTTGGAAACAGTTTTCAAATATATATATATATATATACTATACACACATATATATATTAATACAAAATTAGTAAACTCCCATGTGTAAATGTAGCAGCACCATCAATACGAGGGATTAAGGAGAACGCGCCCTCAATAACAATGGAGAACAGGTTGAGCGACAAGATTTGCGATGCACAACACAATTATTTCCTCTCTCATCCTCTTCTCCCACAACTGTAGAAATAAAAGGTCTGGATTAGGAACAGGAGGTGGCCATTCTGCCAGCCAGGTGGATCACAGTCAGATATCGACAGTTTGCTGCTCTGACCCTCTTCCCTTTCCTTCTCACCTCAAGGGAGAGGAGACTTTCTAACTCAGCAGAGCTGATAATGTTCACAGACAGGCAAGTCCCACAAATTCCCTAGACCCCCTCCTCCCTTGCCCACCTAAAACCAAAAATCATGCATTTTAAGCACTTCTCCGCTCTCAGCCATCTTTTAAAAAAAAACTAGAAACTGCATGGTGATCACTTAGTTCAAAACCAAGGGAGTCTAGAAGCCAGTCCACATTTTATTTATCCAGAGTGTGATGCCCTGGGGATTCAGTCATACGGTTCATGGTACAGCCCTTCAAAGTCAAGAGGGAACACATTGAGCTTCCTGGGCAAAGACTGAAGGCTGTCAAATTTAAAAAAAAGCACCCACTGCAAGCCTGGAAACACAATTGTAAGTTGTGACCTCGTTGTCAGAAGGACAATAACTTTGATCATTGAAATACAGAACTGATTGAAACAAAGTAATGGTCACCCAAAGGAATACGTGGCGTTTAAACTTTATCTTTTGCACATGGTGAAAGTGTTTCCAAATGTCAAAAGGAATTCATCTAAAACTATTATTTTTGCAGCTCGAGCATTTGTCCACTGGAGAAATCCCTAGTCAAAATATTAAATTAGTTAAAATTATCCACAAAGGCAACAAAACCAGTTAAAACAGATTTGTGTAGACTTTTAAAAAGCAGGAGTTGTTGGGGTCCTTACATTGGTACAGCATGGGCTAATTTCCCACTCCTTGATTTTCTGACTGATCTGGTGAATACAGTACAGGTAGGCATCAACACATCTAGCTCACCAAGAGCTCTTAGTCTGACTGTTAATCACATTTCAGCCTCCGGTGCTCCTCTGCTAATTCAGCTCAAACTCCGCATGTATGGCGAGATCAGATCACTCCACTCAAGCCCAAGTAACCTGGCACACTTTGCTGATATGATGGAGCAATTGCCAAAACCAAACCACAGAGGAAATATCCAGCAAGGACAGGGAGATGGATTCAAACACTGGCAAATTAATCAATCTGTTTATCTTTCATCATGATCCCTGTGTGAGCTACAAAGTGCCAGACAGCACTCCTATGGTGTTTTAAATGAGCAGAGCTGGTTAATTGTAGCTAACAGACATCATGGATTGCAGGTAGCAGCAATAACATGCAACTGAGAGCTCTGCATTCATTCCCACCCCCATTTCAATTAGCCAAGCAGGTACCGCTCCCATATCCCAACCACCAGTCCAGGACCACTGATTAACCACATTGCAAACAAGGAACTGATGTTCAATGGAAACCACAGCAACTTGGCACGGTATTCATGGGGGCCAAGATTGGCTGGCTTCAGTCATTGGCAGATTTCAACCCAACAGCGAGGGGTATGGGAATTTGACATCAGCAATCAAACTGGGATGAAACCATCTCCAGTTTGTGCCAGGGCAGCAAACCACAGCCATGGGAGCAATGGACTGGGGGAAGAAGTCATTCCTCGTCAAGCATCATCAGAATGGAAGGGCTGGGGAGAATTACTTCATCATTCAATTAACCAAAACATTATTTTTCTTTACTTCCCAAGAGATCTCAGACAGAGAACAAGAAGAGCTGAAAAGTTGGTCAGAGCTAAAAGATCACAGTACATTCCTGCAGATCTGTGCATAGTGCAGGGAATAAAATATATGTAAAACTGCTGAAACGGTGCAGGAATATTGCTGTTGACAAAACAAAGTAAAAATGTACAGACATTAACAGAATCAAGGGTCGATGGGGTTTTTTTTCTCTTTACAGATTTTAGAATGATTAATTGGCATCAAGGGCCCATAAAGACCACCATCTTGTACACCCCTCTTGAAGCCATAGGGGCCTTGACGTGCTCCACATCAGCACACACAGATAGTCTTCCTGTGCTGCTGCAACAATGGGTTCCTTAGTCTTCGCTGGCCCCTCAAGCTCCTCCTCATTGCCGGTTTCTCAGGATTTCTGCGCCTGGAGGAAAGCACTGGGTTCCCAGTCATCGACTTTGACGAGCCTGTTGCCCCTCCCCCACTGTTGCGCCTGTGGCGAGGTTTTAATCTCTTGGACACAGAGACCGGCGTTGTCCCATTCAATTCTTCCAGTGTCCTCTTGAAGCCAGCACTGGCCCAGGTCGCCCTGCGCCCCTCCCCCACTCTGTTCTCTGCAGCCCCATCTCTCGGCTCCATCAACGTGGTGACAACAGCAGGAGGTGGTGAGCTCCTCCTGCACCTCGTATCTCTTCTCGTCAGCACAGGAACAAAACCAGAACAGAACCAGTGTGGAGAAATATCGTCTGGTGCCTGCAGGAGAGAGGAAACAAGAGGGGAGACAACAATGATTAATCAAAGGAGTCTTCATTCCTATTGTACCTTCCACCACATCAGAATGTTCCTAAGCAATTAATTGGCTGTAAATCACTTTAGAAGTGTAGTCACTCGTGTAATGTAGGAAACATGACAGCTAATTTACATATTGCAAGATCCCACAAACGGCATTATAAATAATGACCAGATTAATGTTTTTTAAAAATGTTGATCAACGCATAAATACTTGCCAGACCATCGGCAAGCAGTCCTCACTCCCTTTCCATTCGTAACTATGGGAGCTTTTTACATGTACGTGATAGCACAGCTTAGGCCTTTGCTCAACCTCTCAACTGACACTTCCAACAGCACTGCACTCTGTCAGCACTGACCTTCCACCTGCACATTGCCCCATCAGCACTGACCATCTGCCCACACGACACTCCATCAGCGCTAAGCTTGGGATGTCAGATCAGAGCATCAAGCTCAAGTCTCCAGAGTGGAGACTTGAACTCACTTCGGACTCCAAACTAAGCGTGGTACCAACTGAACCGTCAATGACATTTTAATTCAATAAATGGCATTTCACACAATTTCTCAAAATAAATTGTTAAATATAGACATTCTCCTTCAGCTTTTACTGAAAGTGGCAAAACATTTTCTCATACACCCCAGCTTTCACTACTACCAAATTCATGCACAAAACCTTGGTGGGGTGATTGGGGAACACTCCTCTAAGTTTAGTAATTTGACCCCAACACAGCTTGACACACGAAACTGTCTAACTGCCCAAGGGACAGGCGAAAGATCCCAGCTGCCCATGTAACGCTCCCCCAATCTCGTGTACCTTGAGTGGTGGTGCGGCGCAGAGAGATGGGAGGGCAAGACCAGATTCCTCCATCTGGTGGATTGAGCCATTGGTCAGCTTGAGCCGCAGCTCGTCAGCGCAGAGTCGGTCATATCCTTGTGAGGGCGGGTCAATGCATATCACCACAGCACTGGTGTTGTCAGCTCGCAGCATCCGTTGCCTCCACCGGCCCAGGGCACGGGTGACCAGGAGTTTAGCACCCGTAGGTCCTGGCTCCTCCTGGAAGAATTGGAAAAGGAACAAAAAAAAAATTAAATTTTCATATCACAAGTCCTGAAGGAGATGACTGAGTTAATGCTCCCTTCCCCACCATACATAAGGTGACTGGAATTAAGCCATGATCTCAGTGAGGTTCCATTCCCACCTCCTACTTTCATCCAGTTGTGCACACTCTGCTGAATATGGTTAACCTTAGAGAGCACTCAAGTGTGGTCTCTAGCCAAGATTCTATGCAAGTTTAACGTAATTCCGCTACCTTTCAATTTTATAAGCAGACGCTGTGAAGATGGAGAGAGAGGAGGGAAACGAGGCTATGACCCCAGATTCTCACCAACAATCGCTTCCTGTCTTCGTTGTCATGGCAGATGGTGACAGCATCCTGAGCTGGGATCATATTCCACAGCCCATCACTGCCAAGGATGATGTACTTGTGGTCATGGCAGTTAATCGTGTGAACGCTGGTGTCTGGTTCTGGTGAGACCACAAACTCACCACTGTAAAAATCGTAACTCCACAGATCGCCTATGAAAAAGAAGAATAAGGGGAGTCACTGATTATTGTCCTGCCAACAAGAGATCGGAAGGCCCTGTTCCAAATTCCACTCATTCACCACAAGTGGCCATACAAGGAGTCACGCTAGCCACACCTTGGTCTCTCTCACTTAGGAGGAACAGTCACTCGACCCGAAACATTAACGGATTTCTCTCCACAGCTGCTGCCAGACCTGCTGAGCTTTTCCAGCAATTTGTTTCTCATCTCACTCATCTCTTTCCAAACTCCAACCACACTTCCCCCACCCAAACACAACACACTTCCACATTAGCGCGCGCAGACACACACATAGTTAGTACAGCGCATTTCCCTTTTTAACTTATCAAGCAAACCAAAGTTGTTCCTGCTGCATCCACTTGAGGGCAACCGACAAATCAAAAGCTGGCTAGTGCAAGGCACTGAGTCTCCACCAGATGGTAGCAGCATCCACACACTAACAAGATAGCATTGTCCACCGGGACAAGTCTCAGCAAGTTCCTCAGATGAGCCCGGCAGCTCACGCTCTTTCCCTCCTTGTCCCACACAGGCAATAAGGGAAGCCTCAGATCTGATTACAAATCCATCCCTGCCAAATACCTTTTCCTTTAAGGATGAGGTGTGGGGAAACCTAGTTTAATTCCATCAATTCCCCCTTGATAAGGTAACTCCAGCTTCAGTTAAGAAAACTGAGAGGACACTGCTGAAGTCCTAGCCCAGACAGGCAGCTGTCCAACCATGGGGAGGCATCACAGCCCCCTTCTGGGCAATGGCTGCAGCAACGTGGCTATTCAACTGCGGAGGACCTCGCAGTGAGACCCGATCTTGTCGTCAGCAAAGTCCCCAGACTTCAGACAGAGGGTGGGGTCAAACAAACAGCAGGGGGAAGGAGGAAAATAAAAGAGACAAAAAGAGAGCAAAGAGATGAGACCAGACCAGCTTTACCCAAAGCCAATGTACTGGATAGCTGTGATCTCACTGCCTCCTTTACCAGTATTGAGAACTGGATTCTCTACCCTCTTGCTATTGTCAATCAATCCACCAAATCTCATTATGTAACGATCCACCAACTCATTAGACACGGCTCACCCCTTCCCCAGCAACTCACCCAGTGCTCTGGCCACAGCCAGGAAAGGGATCTGATCAATCACCGTACTCCGCCGCACAGGGCCGTTGTGGGTCAGGCGTGGTCTCTTCCACACCACACGATTCACTCCGGACTTGTTGATGACACTGGGTGGGGCAGGGGAGGAAAAAAAATGCCAGAAATAGACTGAATTACATGTTGATTGAGGGATAAATAACTGGCCAGACCACTGGGGAGATCCTGTCCATGGTGCTCCCTGAGCCGGGACCAGTAACTACATTCCACAAGTTTCCTCAGTCCCAGGTTACTCCCTCCCCAACACCAACAGACCGACAGGGGGAAGAGGGAGGGGGAGAAGAACACACAGACACACACACCCCAATTCTCCCCCGCCTTGTAGCACTTACCTGCCTCCAAGCCCTTCAATTCTCTCCTTCTCTTTGGGAAGCTCAGGCTTATGGTCTTGCGTCACCTCCAGAGCCTGTACCACCCTTTCCCTCTCCCCTCGGGCCTCACTCGAGCCATCGTGAGCGCCCAGGACTACACCAGAATCTCCCACGTGGGCAACGTACATCTTGTTCCGACAGATGATGACAACACTTGCTGTGGTGCCGGATGTGCTGGGGAGCCCGGTCATCGTCTTTGGCCACTCAGCTGTTGGGGGTTAGGAAAAGAAAGAGAGAGTGGTGAGGGGGCAAGGAAAGGAACCACCACATAATGTCAGTCTCGGTCAGCGCCAAGGGAGCCCTGCCCAGAGGGAGCACCACACTGTCAGAAGCATCTTTTTAGGAGGAGCTCTTAAAATCAAAAGCTCCGTTTGCATTCTCGGATAATACATCAGCTATTAAATCCCAGGACTATTACTATCTCAGAGATTATCTGACCATTATTACATTATTGATTGTGCACACCTAGCTGACAGGTTTCCTGCATCTCAACACTTAAAGTACTCAATAGGATGTAAAACATTCACAAAGCCTCAAGGTTGACATAGGCATTATAGAAATCCGAAGTGTTTCTGTATTGGAGTGCTAGCACACCAGGAACGTCTGTGCCCACAACCAGTCCCTATTCTCACCATTAATATACAGCCAAGTACAAACCCCCAGTTCCCTCCGTCAGAAAATACGAACCCAAATAAAGCTTTTTGGGAAGGTGCCAATTAGCAAATTTAATCGATATTAAATTAACAGTAATTAGCAACACATTAGAAATAATAGATGAGTCGAGAAAGATGAAAGAGTTAAAGGAAAGATATGCAGTACAGTTTCGAACTGGTCACAAAGATTGGATGGTTGAATGTTGCAATGGAGGTTATCCACAGCGGTGACGTTGGTAACTGAACAGCCAATTTCAAGGCTCTCAGTTTTACAGCATGGTTGACATTCTGTTGCTAATTCCATTCGACTGTGACTGAAGGGCGAGTGAAGTGCATGCGGGGTGTCGTCCCGTTTTCTTTTGCCTGATTTGCTAGCTAGCTGATTTCTTGCACTCAGAGTGAGAGACTCCCTTTACCAGCAAAAGAGGTGTGACCAGGGGATAGTTTTTCCAACCACAACTTTCACAGCAGGCTGATGCTCAAATCCATACTAGTACAAACAGGACCTTAACACAGTGGTACACAAGGCAGCACATATATGCACACACATACCACTAGCACACACTGTATAACTGAAACTAGCCTTTTAACCTCTACCCTTTGTGGGTCTCTTTTTCTTTTAAAGAATATTCAAGTTTAGGACATGATCTGCAGGGGGTGGCTCACTGTTAATCAGGAGTCATCAGCCCCTTGTTATCTTTGCAGTGACAAAGTATCACAGTCCAGTGTATTTTGACTTGTTTCTCCCTTCTTGAAAGAGCAGTTGTTTGAGGGTCCCTTCACATCTTTAACTGTGCCTGCAGAGAAACCTATGGAATAAGTCACTTCATTTATATCTGCAGCTATTTTTGGCTGTAGCAGCCCAGTTAAGAACATTTTGAACTACAAGTTAAAAACACTCATAGTATTTGGAGTTCTGACCCATGGCTATGACAGTATCCAGATGCAGTAAGATCTGGGCTAATCAGTGGCAAGTAATATTCACTCCACACAAGTGCCAGGCAAGAAGCATATTCAACAAGAGAGAATATAAACATCTCCCCTTGACATTCAATAGCATTACCATCACTGAATTCTCCACTGTCAAAATCCTGGGAGTTACCATTGACCAGCTATATTGGCCTGGATCAGCCGCATCAATGCTGTAGCTTTAAGAAAACTGAAGCTTCGACTTTCCAAAGCCTGTCCACCATCCCCAAGATGCAAATGAGAAAGTATGATGGATGAGTAGAGCTCCAAGGACACTCAAGAAGCCTGACACCGTCCAGGACAAAGCAGCCCATTTGATTAGCATCACGTATGCCATTCATCTATGTGGGGCACGGTGGCTCAGTGGTTAGCGCTGCTGCCTCACAGTGCCAGGGACCCAGGTTTGATTCACTGCCTGTGTGGAGTTGCACATTCTCCCCATATCAGCAGGAATTTCCTCCGGGTGCTCCAGTTTCCTCCCACTGTCCAAAGATGTGCAGGTTAAATGGATTGACCATGGGAATTTGTCCCATAGTGTCCAGGGACATGCAGGCTACGTGGATTAGCCATGTTAAGTATGGGGTTACAGGGATAGGGTGGGATGTCAGTGCAGACTCGATGACCAAATAGCCTCTTTCTGTCCTGTAGGGATTCTATGATCTTCAACATTCACCCCCTCCACCAGTGATGTTCAGTTGCAGTGTGCACCATCCACAAGAGTCAGAGATATACAGCACTGAAACAGACTCTTTATTCCAACTCGTCCATGCCGACCAGATATCCTATAAAAATCTAGTCCCATTTGCCGGCATTTGGCCCATATCCCTTTAAACCCTTCCTACTCATCTACCCATCCAGATGCCTTTTAATTGTTGTAAATGTACCAGCCTCCACCACTTCCTCTGGCAGCTCATTCCATATACGCACCACCCTCTGCGTGAATAAGTTGCCCCTTAGGTCCCCTTTAAATCTTTCTCCTCTCACCTACGCCCTCTGGTTTTGGATTCCCCCACCCCGGGAGAAGCATCACAGTCAACAAAACTCCTCCAAGAGCAGCATCTACCATCTAGAAGGACAAAGGCAGCAGATACATGGTGACACCACAATCTGCATGTTTTCCAACAAGCCACTCACTATCCTGACTTGGAAGCATATTGCCATTCCTGCACTGTTGCTGGGTCTGAAACTTGGAACTCACTCTCAGCACTGTCCCTACACCCCTAAGACTGCAAAACCTCAAGGCAGCAGTTTGCCACCACCTTCGCCAGGGTAATTAGATTGTAAAGACCACATTTTCATTTTTCCTTATTTTGGATTGCAGACTAAAATTGGAAAAGAATTGCAGAAGGAGTTGTAGCACCTTTAAAAAAAAGAGGCTATTGGAACTCATTGACAGTCATGTTTACAGCATTGCTTTGTTCATTACATTAGGATGTCTTGGCACAGTGGGTGCATGCAGAATGGGCTTTGCCCAGAAACAGATTACTGATTGCACAAACCAATCAGGACCAGTAGTTGTACGGGCAAAGAGTAATCAGAATGGCTCCTGGGAAGGTGAACAGAATGTGCAAGAACAACACAGGGACACCAGACCGCAAGAGACAGCATCTCTTTCTGCAGTGAGCTGAGCAAAACCTGGAAGTAGGTTGCTATTCTCCCCCACCGTATTCTGTAATTTGCTTTCTCTGACTACTGACTGAAAAACTGAACAATTAGTCTGCCTGAAGGTGTTATGCTGCGAAGAATCAACATACTGAACTCGAAATGTTAATCCCGTTTCCCTCTCCACAGGTGCTTCCAGATTAGCCAAGTTTCTCCAGCATTCTCTGCGCTTGTTTGATATTTCCAGCATCTGCAGTATCTTGCTTTTATTATACCAAACTGAAGTTATTAAATTATAAGGAAGTTGAAATTTTGATAGTGATTTTCAATATTCCAACAGGTGCCAAAGTGCTATGCAGCCAATGGAGTGGTTTTGAAGCTCTCACTGGCGTAAAGTAAGAAAACACAGCACCCAGCTTTCACTCATAAGTTCCCACATGGATCAGACAGTGTGTCGTATCGGCATTGTTGCTGCTTAACCTTCTCCTCCAATGTGGAATCCTACGGAGACGGTCCCTTGGCAGGTGCTACAGAAGGCCGATACCTAAGAGGGCTGTTGCGGTCACTGCCAACTACCAGTAAGTGTTGAACACATTGGAGAGAGACTACAGTCACTTAAATTCTCGCATGTCAAACGTTGTGCAACGCTATCGGAGGCACCAGTTTTCAAATGAGACATCAAATTCTCAGGTCGACAGGAAGATTCTCTCAAACTTTGTGAGCAAGAGCGAGGTGGGGCATTAGAAGAACAAATCATCCAAAAGCAACAATCAAAGACAGATTTACCTGGTTTCTATCATATTGCTGTCTCTGGGAGCTTGCTGCATGCAAAATCACCTCTATATTTCCCAGGTTACAACAGTGATCACATTTCAAAAATTACTTCACTGACTGTAAAACTCTTTGGGATATCAAGGATGGTGAACGACGCTGTAGAAATAAAAGTTCTTTCCTACAGGCCCAACCAGAGCAAGGGAGGCAGGTTTCCTTCTCTGAAGAACCAGTGACCCAGCTGGATTTTCACAACAATCCGATAGTTTCGTGGTCGTGCTTCTCACTTGCAGACTTTTTGTTTTGCATGTAAACATGAACTCTCTCATTATCCCAACTCCAAATTGAAGTTGGCACAAAGAGCACAAGATCTGCACAAATCGTTCTACTGTATCTGAGTCTATGCCTGTCCCTCACCAACAGCGCCACCCAACACCCCCAGAGAGACAGAAAAAACAAACTGAGTTGGCGTTCAACACCTGTCGGCTGTGGGATCTTGATGTGCACAACCTCTACAGCAGCGTTGAAGCAGATGGAAGGGGAGTGTGAGAGAGCAGAAGGGTGTGTGAAAGTCAGGTGTAACTTGCATCACTCTAGCACCCTTCCAAGCTTACAAGGTTGTGCTGTAATATTTAGGATTACATAACAATCGCAACAGAATCAGACTTGCCAAGGCACAAGCTTGGCAGAGAGTAAGATGGCGAGGGAGGGGTCCGTTAGGTCACCCAAAGGGACCGACACACAGAGAAGGGGAAGCACAAGTCTCAACCCATTAAATATCTCTGCCTTACCACCGCCACCACAACATCGGGACAGTAATTAAAACTCAAACTGACGCGACGATCGAGAAAGCACAATGATGCCTCTTCTTCCTCAGGAGGCCAAGGAAATTCTGCATGTTCATAAAAACTCTTACCAACTTTTACAGACGCATCATTAAAAGCATCCGACTGTATCTGAATGCATCATGGCTTAGTATGGCAATTGCTCTACCCAAGACAGTAAGAAACTAGAGTGTTGTGGACACAGCCCAGTCCACCACGCAAGCCAACCTTCCATCCACTGACTCCATTTACATTTTTTGCTGCCTCGGTAAGTCAGCCATCAAAGACCTCTCACATCCCGGTTATAATCTCTTCCAACCTCTTCCATCAAGCAGAAGAAACAAAAGCTTAAACAAACATGCCTACAGATTCAAGACCAGTTTCTTCCCCAGATGTGATTAGACTTCTGAATGGGCCTCTTAAATTATAAATTTAATGTTGATCTCGCTTTGTGTGCGCCTTCTCTGCAGCCGTAACATTGCATTCCTCGCTCTGTTCTATTACCGTCATGCACTTTGTATGGTATGATCTGTCAGTACTGCACGCAAAACAAAACTTTTCACTGTACTTGGGTACATGTGACATTAGTAAATCAAATCAAAAACCTTGGCCAGATACAAAAACAAAGTGCTAGAGCAACAGCATGTCTGGCAGCATCTGTGGAGAGAGAAACAAGAACATTTTCAAGGAGATGCTGAGAGATTAATGAGAAAATTCCCAGCACTGAATGGTCAGACAGCAAGCAGCCTGCAGTGGAGTAATGGGAACCAGGGATATACAAAAGACTGGAATCGAAGGAGTGTGGAGATTGGGTGTTTGGATACCAAAGAGATGAGGAGGCACCAGGCCACAGCGGGATTTCAGCAAACGGGTGGGGTGTCATTCCTGCACACAGGACTGAGCTTTCAATAACCTCACTAGCTGGAAACACCAGTCTAACCTGCAATTCTCCATGGAAACTTCCGAGGGAGCTGATACACATCAATTTTTTTTTAAAAAGTTGGTTCATGATATGTTGCTGTCACTGGCTAGTCATTGGATCAGCTTGGAGTAGGAAGAAGTAGCAGACAACCTCACAGAAGTACAAACAGAACCACAAAACATATCAGCTCCCGATTCAGATAGTAGGAACTGCCGATGCCGGAGAATCCGAGATAACAAGGTGTAGAACTGGATGAACACAGCAGGCCAAGCAGCGTCAGAGGAGCAGGAAAGCTGACGTTTCGGGTCTGGACCCT